GGTTGAACTATCCTTTTTCTACGTGGGACCTCACAAAGTTCATTAACAACTCCTGCTATAGACGTTTTGAGACAAGCATGGCTTTACAGTAGTTAATATTTACTATTCATTTCACACAGTATTTCGGAACAGTTTCGCCAGCAGGAAACTTATTATTATGATACGAAAAAAATATAATATAAGCTTAGTGATACTATGTAAGTGAAGGTAAAAGACACCCTCTAAAGAAAATGCAATTGCAAAACACTTACATTTGCTCTCTGTATTATACGAAATCTTGTGTGTTGACGACCAGAATAACACTAATATACTGACGTTATTGTATACTAGAAATAAAAACAAGACATTGCTTATATATACATGACTAAAATAAGTTTTGCTTGTGTGCCTTCATTCGTATCCGTGAAATAACTAATGATCAAATATTAATGAGATACCTTGTTTATTTCATACAAGTACTATCGTCTTTTTGCTTGTTCTGTATCCACTATGATTTATCAATGACAGACATCGTTTTCCCCCATAAAAACATCGTCGTTATTTTGCTCGTTCTATTACTCATCGTTCGAATAGCTTGAAGGATGCAAAATGACGTGAATTGAAGGCAGAAAAATTATGGACTATAACACCACTTGTTCTTTTGCCATCGTTGCACAGTATCAACAAAATATTAGCATTTCACAAGCAATAATATACTGCTCAATACCATGATTCTGGTTGAAGCAAGCTTCAGATGTCCCTTTCACATATGCGAGAAGATATTAGTTTTTGACATGACTTCCAGAAGTGTTTCGTGTCCGTGACCATGTATCTCGTCAAAGATCGAGATCAGGATGCATTTCCGGCATCGGTACCAATATTAGTTCTCTTCTAGAATCGTTCTCGGTCGCAGCATCGATTCGGATCTCAGTTTCAATATATGTCTCGGCCACCATATTCGTTCATGTTTCCATCCCTATTGCCGCGTATATCTTCGTTTCGGTTCTGATTGCTATTCCCGTCATGGTTCTCATTTATTTTGCGCTTCAAGTCGTCATACTGCTACCAATCTCAGTGGACATTCAGCTTCAGACGCGATTCACAATCCATGTCGCATAATCGGCTACATTATTGAGTTCAGACTTAATCCCAAGGTCTATCGCGTTGGCTGTTTTTAACACGAACTCTGTCAGGCCTCACTTCTCGTCCAGGTTTCAGAGTCGGTTCTGTGACCCATTCAGATTTCACTCCTGGTTCTGCATCCATTCCGAAGCTTTTCACGGACAGGTACTCATCTTTGTTTCAGCTGCAATTGAATTACTGGTCTCAGCTTGAATTTCAGCGTCCGACTAAATTCAGAGTTTGCCCACTCATTGGTCAGTGTCAATTTTATTTGGTATAGGTAGGATCTACATTCACGCTCCGTAATAATCTGCAAGTCAAATCTAAATCATTATCATTGTTTAAATTTTTTGCCTATCAGTCTATAAGCAGAATAACATTGATATCTTAAAGGAATATAAAGAATATGACCAAAAATAGCGCAAATGTTTCTAAGCTTCTACTTATTTTGATAGAAAAATATGTTACCCCATAATATACTAAAATATTTAACATAGAAAATGATTTATTTATTTTTTTGTGTTTAGCAGTCCTCGATGTATAGCTTCATTCCATCAGTATTTTTTCGGATTTTTTCGATAATAAAAGTCAAAAGAAGAACAACAAATGTTCGAGCATATTTTCTTGAGGATATTAGTCAATTACTCAGTTTTCAACCAATCAATTCAACATCAACAAATCTTAAACAAATTAATAAAAATCAACAATTAGAACACGATGATAATGGGTATCATCAATGGTATAAACGTTCATAATCTTTATTACAAAAGCCCATAACTCTGCTAATTAGTTGTGTTCAGTAAAAGCACATGTCTGAAGATTGAAAATATAGTGCTCTGTTAATTTTATCAAAAAGTTGTTCCACCGTTTATCGATATATATATTCTCAAAGGCTACATAATAAAAGAAGAGTTGTGAAGCACAAAAGAAATAAGATACTATACTGTTCGGAGTATTCATAATTTTTCATATATTCCAGGAAAATTTTTTCCAAGTGATTCATAACTTAGTTGTGAATGATATCCTTGAAATATTAAAAATAGAATTCACCAATTTCCTATAATCATTCCCTTATACTATAGATAGATTGACAATATTTCAACTAAATTGTTCTCAATTTATCACTGGTTAAAGAACAATCATGTTTCAAGTTATCAAACAGAAGTTCCGTCATCTAGATTGATATAGCAGGCAGTTTGCAATATATAACTAATTTTTTAAAATTAAGCAAAGTTAGTTCTACTCATTTCATGAAGAACTTAGGAACGTTTTCCTCACCATGAATATAATATGACACAAGTTTAGTGGTACCATTTGACGATAGAAAAATCTGCTAAATGCAGATGAGGAGAAAAGTGTTCTGCAGAGGCTACACCTTCAAAAGGAATATCCTTGGTCATTGTATTCATGCAAAACCATGTGTTTGATGACTAGAATAAGAGTGTGATTATCAACGTTGTTGTATGCAAGAAACGAAAGGATTGTATTGCCTAGGTATGCATCACAAAATAAATATGCTTCTGTGCATTCATTCATATACATAATATAGCACATGATCATACATGATTGAGCCCCCCCCCCCCCCCCCCCCCCCCCCCCCCCCCCCCCCCCCCCCCCCCCCCCCCCCCCCCCCCCCCCCCCCCCCCCCCCCCCCCCCCCCCCCCCCCCCCCCCCCCCCCCCCCCCCCCCCCCCCCCCCCCCCCCCCCCCCCCCCCCCNTGAATTATTTAAAAGTTTTTCTTTGTATTGTTTAGCTAATAAAATATTTTCTTGAATAAGTGTAACAATTTCAGCTACTGGTCGAGATAATTTATGTATTAATAATTGAGCCTCATTTAATGATTGCATATCTTTAACAGCATGAAGATCACATTGAAGAATACGAATAATAAGACGAGAAAATTCTTCAACAGATTTATTCCAACTTTCACTATAATTTTGTTTCTCTTTCATTAAAAAATTTAATCCTTGTTTACAAACAGCTAAAAAACGAAATGATTCATTATCAAACATAAATGTATTTTTTATATCAAACGGAACTTCCACACCAGTTTTTGCATGAAGTTCTCCGAGAAGAACTTTTAATAATGATGTTGTTTGACCTGGTCGATAAAATGTTGCTCGTGAATTTGTAAATACAAACATAATATTATCTTTTGCATTAACATGTAAATGTCTTAATAATTCTTTAATACAATAACGAAAATAAATATCTAATCGTGTTACCTCTGGTTTAAATAAAATACAAATTCCATTTAAATGTTCATAATTACTTATATAACTAAGAATATGTTCAAAATTTCTTGCCTCATGATCAACACCTCGAGTATCACCAACACCTGGTCCATCAATTAAACGTATTGACCGATTTCCTATTGGAAATATATAACTTCGACATAATTGAGTTGATGATTGTCCATCAGTTTCACAATTTTCATTATCATTTGGAGTTCCAACAAGAATTTTTGTACTTTCAAATGTTTCACTGTCTGTTACTGTAAATGCAGATGGGATTAAAACTTGTAATTCACTTTTTAATGCATCATCAAGTGTGTCATAAAAAAGACAATTAACAAATGCATTAACAAATGTTGTTTTACCAACACCAGTTTCACCTAATAATAATATATTTATATCTGTTTCTGAAGATTCTCGACCACGGCGATTGAACGACATTTTAATATATCTTAAATAAAAAGTTATTGCTGTTTAAAGTGAATTTTTTGTTTTTCTTTTTTATGATTTGGAATTTTTTCTTTATTTTTGTCTTTTTACAATTCATTTTTCTTTCTTGGAAAGAAATTTCTTTTTTTTTCTTTTCTACTGGGTTTTTTATGATAAGAAATGTGTCATGTTGCTCTTACTTTGTAGGATTTAATTGATTTTTGTTGCTTGATCACACGTGTTTGATGAGAAAAAAGCGATATGCGAACAGAATGTATTTTTCATCAGGTGAGATGTAAACGTTTTGAATTCTGTAATAATAAAGATAAAATTTTCTTCACATCTTGCCATACTTTATATCTGACAGTTTGTTTTTAGTAACAAGATGCACACAAATAACATGAACCATTTGAACTATTTAAAAGAGATTTTATTAAAATCATAGTGTTAATAACATCATATTTTAATTTTTCACGTTTTAATTTGTTAAAAATAAAGAAATAAAAAAAAAAAGTTGTTTCAACTGATTTTATTATTTCATTAACAATAAATTTCGATGTTTAAAAGAAAAGAATTTATGCCTCATATATATTTTAGATATAAAAAAAATGCTACAATAATTCTTTTTTTGACGAAATCGACACGTTTTCTTCTATTTTCAGACGATTTCAGAGGATTCTTTTTTTTTAACCTATGAAGAGTTATTAGAAATCTGAAGACAACAAAATTTTTCGTAAAGTTTTCTGAATTCTTTAAATCGCAAGCTACATCTGATTTTTCTTGAATATATTATTTTAATTTAAATTTCTTCATTACTTTGATGATTTAATCTAATTAGTTTTCTGGAGTTAGAATTATAAAAGCTTGTGCCGAATATTTCTATTCGATTTTTTCGTTCAACTTCTAAAGTAAAATGATATTTGAAATCATAAAACAAAGTTACTTTGCGCATTTTTTTAACTGACAAGCGAACTATTCGAACTGTAACTCCCCATTTGAATTTATTTTGAACCCACAAGGAAGCCTCGATAAAAACAGGAAAATGCTTAAAAGTCTGCGGGCTCATGAACCTTTGAAACAGAGTTACTACTGAGTTTTTAACCATTTTTTAGGGTATTTACAGGAAAATCAAGTAGCGAAATTTCGACCGAAGACTCAGCTCTAAGATAGGCCTAATGATCCTTGAAATATTCTGAAAGTTTCAATCGAAAAGAATGTTCGTTTGTCTAGATATTATTGAATTTTCAAATAAACCCAATTTTTGTGATATGTCTATGGCCGGCAACTATTTCTTGCAAATTCAATATCTCAATAAATGAATATCATGGTTTGATTTTTCAGAAAATATCTAACGGTGGATCGAAAATTTAGTAACAAGTTCATAACTCGCCTTCAGAACCCATAGGCACGAACCTTTGTACCGTTTTGCCAGTCTTACTAAGATCTCCTTTTACGGTTCAAAATGAACTCAAACGACGAATTATAGTTGGGGCAGTTTCTTTGTAAACAAAAGCTTTAAAACTTAAATAAAATAATAATAAAACGACAAATTTATACATTCTTTTTGTTGATTTGAATCTTACAATGATACTGACATATATTTTTATTCTATTTTGTATTGATCTTTTTAGTGAAATTTATCGACAAGATAATCAGATGGCAGTTAGAAAATTTTTTCATGCAGTGGTGCCCGAAGGATCTGAGAAAAGTTCAGACGCTAATGAGAAGACTCCAATTAATATAGAACGTATCGCCATTGATCAATACGGCTCTGTCGGATCATTCTATGATGGATACAAAGATAATATCCAGGGAAGATTAGGTGTTAAGATCAAAATACAGTTTCATAAACCCACTAAACCAATTAAATGTGTACTAATCAATGGATATGCACCTGAATATCAAAATTTGCTTGAATTTGTTGGTATTGATCAACAGCAACGATTAAGTATATTATTAGAAATGACTTGTGCAACTGGAATAGCTTCTCTAATTAATTATTCTCAATTGATTAATCAACACACTCGACTTTTTTATATTTACCAAGAATCACATATAGAATTAGATAAAAATCATTTATATCAATTCAAAAATGCGGTAAGATTATCAACATGTGAAAAATTTGCGACCCACATTATCACTGAAATCATTTGTGGTGTTCATCTTCTTGTTATTCTACAATTATCTCCTGATAAAGAAAGAGAAATCGATGATTTGCTGAAAAAACTACAAGAAAGTATAATTACTAAAAATCATATATTAAGAATAGACTCACAACAACAAGCTCTGCTTGATCGAATTATTACAAGCACAGTTTATTCAAATATAGATAATTTAAGTAAAATAAAAAAATTTCAACATATATATGAGGCAATAATAGAATTGCAAAGAGATGATAAACTACATGGACGATTAAAATATATTCTTACTCCTATTGAATGGTACTACGGTCATCACGCTATACATTTGCCAAAATTAATTTTACGTATATCAGACGAGATTGAAACTCTTGAGCATTATTTACTTCAACAAAAATCTAAATTAAAAGAATTGAATTTTAGTGCCAATCATAATTTATTTGAATTATTACAAGGTAAATATCAAAGACGATTCAAGAATATTCAGGAAGAACTTTCAAAATTACAAGTTTTACATATGAAAGATATTGAACGACTTCATAATATAGTTTGGAATATTCGAAACGAAACGCTAAATCAAAATACAATAAAAAGAGAAATTAGTTTGGATCAACCAAAAGAAACTCAGCAATTGATTAAAAAGATTACTTATGATATAGATGAATTGAAATCAAGAGGGAGTCTAATGAAACTACTACAAAGTGATGGATTTGAGTATTGCGATGTTACAGATTTAGGCATTCGTAATGGATTAGCAGACAGTCAAATTATTGATATGCTTTTTGGCAATGATTCTCAAAAAGCTTTATTGTTTTCAAATGATACATTTAGAAATGATGATCAGAAAAATTGGACTATATTATATTCTCAAATGATCGAGGAAAGCAAAAATAATCCTCAATTACGTCTTGTCTATGCTGATTTCACTTATTCAACATATAAATTAAAAAAAATGACAATAAATCTATCGAAAGATCTGATAGAAAATCAAAATCCATCAAAACCTCAACCATCTGAAAGTGGTACAGAAAGAAAATCTACTTCTCCGCCACCATTATTATCATCAAGTAACGAGTTTATTAATATACTTCTTCTTGGAGAGTCAGGTGTTGGTAAATCAACTTTTATTAATGCTTTTGCTAATTATCTTTATTTTCAAAGTCTTGATGAAGCTCAACATGGAAAACCAATTGTTATAATACCTGTTTCATTTACAATGACAATTAATGATAATTTTGATGAACAAATAATTAAATTTGGTGAAATTGATTCAAATGAAAATCATAATGATATAGGTCAATCCGTAACTCAAAAATGTAAATCTTATGTTTTTAATATTTCTAATGAAAAAAAATTACGTTTTATTGATACACCTGGTTTTGGAGATACACGTGGTAATAATCAAGATAATCTTAATATGGAAGAAATATTTTCTTTTCTTCATAATATTTCTTATTTAAATGGTATATGTCTTTTATTTAAACCTGAAGTTGTACAATTAAATTCTTATCTTCATTCTTGTTGTATTCAATTATTTGATTATTTTGGTGAAAATATTCGTGATTATTTTATATTTTGTTTTACGAATACTCGTTCAACATTCTTTGCTCCAGGTAATACACGACCATTATTAAATACATTTTTCGAATCATTTCCTGTAAAGAAAATTCCCTTTGAGAAAACGAATATGTTTTGTTTCGATAGTGAAGCATTTCGATATCTAGTTGCAATACAAAATTCAATTAAGTTTGATCCCAAAGAAAGAAATGAATTTGAACAAAGTTGGTCAAGATTAGTGATTGAATCGAACCGTTTTCGTGATTATCTGTGTAATCAAAAATCATATCGTAAAAATGTTGAATGGCAATCAAATAAAGATGCTCAATCTCAAATTAAAAACATGATTCGTCCAATATTAGAAACTATAAGAAATCATCTTCGAAATATGATTATGTATAAGCATAATTCATCAATTAAACTTCATGCAACACATATGAAACAACCTACAATGCTCTGCTATGCTTACAATCGTCATCCTGAGAATTATGGCAATATTTGGATAATGCCAGATCATGTGCATCATTCGCCGAACATGGTAAGTCCCAAACCTTTCATACTTATATATAAAATTCTTAAAAAAACTCATTGAATATTTGTTGTGATTCATTTTCGTATTTATAGTGTACATCACATGAACAAAAATCAATTGAATATACACTCAATTACGAATTTCTTAACCAGAAAGTTGATCAATCAATGGATGATTTAAAAAGTCAACGTGATGATCTCTATGAAATATGTGCAAAATTATCTTACTTTTTAATGAAGACATCTCTGAATTCACAAGACGATCTATTTCTTAGTGATATCAATAGAATAATCAGTGAAGAGGAATTTATTTGTGAGACACAAACTATGAATGATTTAAATAGAAAGTTGTTGAAAAGATTGGAAAACTTTAAGAGAATCTATGAAGAAGATCTAAATACAATAAAATCAAACAAAAATGATTTCACTTTATCAGAAATTTACAATTTAATGAATTTAGTTTATGAAATGTCTATGATTAAAATACAGTTAAATGCCATTAGAAAATATCGACAAACTTTGGTGACAAATAATCAATATGACGTTCATATAAACAAAACTTGTTCATAGTAGATTAATAATCTATTTTGTGAATCATAAATGATTTTATTCATTTTTTTAACATATTCGATAAATCTGAATTTCAAAAGAATTTTCTTTTTTAAATAAATTATTAAGCCTGTAGAAATATAATTTCATTTCATTCTGTGGAATTCCTTTATTGTTTATCATGACTAGAACACTATAATTATTCATTCAGTAGAAAACAAACCATTTCTGTTATTGAGTTAGCAAGACTATTTAATTAACGTATTTTACTTTTTACATAAAATACATTTCATTGGAAGGTAATATTATTATGCATATTTGTGAAGCAAATTTTATCAAAAGACTGACATATGAAAAAAAAAATAATATTCAGATGTATTTAATTGGATTTAATAAGTTAATAAATAGAATTCAAATTTGAGAGATTATTAATAAATGACAGAATATGTTATATATTGAGATCATATTGATCAAGTCCATAAGTATATTTCATTCTAGATGTATCGATTAGCCTTAGATTAGTTCGAAGATCAATAGTAAAGATAGATCAGCCAAAACGGCTAACGGTCAACCAGCATGATTGAAGTCGAGCACTCAAGTTCTCGAACACAAAAGAGCCGATCTTACTCATTTAAAGTTTTTATGTAGGTTTTCGTATATTCTGCGTCGATCTATCGAATTTCTTTTTAATAATTACGAGAAGAACTGGTAGCTACCAGCCAAATT